CGTAACGCATTGTTGTCGAGGCACCTGTGCAGGAATCGAATCTGCGCATAAGTAGATGACTCTCGAGGGGCAAATGTTTCCCACCGACGAGCCGACTGGAGCGCCTCGCGCCCAGAGAGATTGCCAATAGAGGAGAATATCCGAGTTCTAGGAAGCAGTTCAGAAGAAGAAGAAGAAGAAGAAGAAGAAGAAGAAGAAGCGATCACTGGAACACGAGGTTTATTGTCCTGACGTTTCGGATTCCCTCGGTAATCCTTAATCATAGGTAAGGTTTATTTTCCTGATGTTTCAGATTCCCTCGGGAATCCTTAATCATAGGTAATAGTAGAACAGTCTGGGATTCCGCCGGGAATGCTTAGGCATAGGTAATCGTAAACAAGTCTGAGACATGCGCAGATAAAGAATAAGGATTCCCGACAGAATCCGAAACGTCAGGACAATAAACCTCTTCTTCCAGTGATCGCTTCTTCTTCTGAGTTTTTTGTATTAGACAGAGTATGATATATAACCTCCGGCGTTCTGTTTTTCTATATACTGAATAAACCATGGTCACTTATTGCATAAGGACCTGACTAAGGTATTTTCTTCTTATCGGCATAAAATCTACTAGATGCAGATTTTGTATCTGAGGCTCATAACCTGTGTGTTATCATATTGGGTCTACAATGAATATTACTTCTTTTTCAGCAAAATGACTGTTCAAAACCAAAATATGAAGACATTTTGAGAAGCTGCAGATAGTTGTATGTTCGATTCACCAAGCGAACTCACAGAGTTATATTTTTAGCATTCTTATCATTTAAGGAACGTACCGATGACAGAGATTCCCAGTCTCCCATTTTTTGGAAAACGTGTGACGGAAAAGGGTGGTAACCAATCCGGAGAAAGGGCCAGATCATCTACAACATCGGGGACGCGAAAAGCACCAGTTCTCCGCGCATCGATTGAGTAGACTGACTCTGTAGTCGGCACCTCTAAATAGGAAAGGGGGGGTTTCAAATCTGTCATTATTCTCCCTTGATTGGTTCCACCAAGACTAAGTGAATCCGCACTCCTCATCGCGTGATTCGGTTCTTCGGGTTTTTTCAGTGTAAAGTATGGACGTCCTTCAAGGTCACGATATTGATGCACATCGTTGATGGTGGTCACGTAGGTCATGCCTTCAGGCCTTGCTACAGACACAGATGTCACAAAGACGAACACGGATCTACCTTTCTTCTCAGGCTGAGGTTCATCCTTCCCTTGCATCTGCCAGTAGTTTTGAATCTCATTAACTATCCTCTGACGCAGAAGTGCATCTCCAAGCGTTTCACGTGAGGATCGTCTAAGGGGAGCGGGAATTCTTCGCAGTCGACCCTCCGAAGCCGAATGAAGCGGTCTCTCTGCATTAGAGAATTGGGACCTTCCCGACTGATGGCAGTGGGATACTCTCAGCACTGGCAATACTGGCCGTGGGATAGGATGCACGTCAGGCATTGAGGCCAAATCGCGTTTGAGAGATCGTCCAAAAGCGTTGTTGTCAACCCTGGTAGTAATAAAATGGTGAAAATAGAATTGGAATTGAAAAACAGCCAAAGTCGTTGATCCTCATGAGGTGAGAAACAGTTGCTAAATTGAACGCATTACATTTTAAGACCTGATGTCTAGTAAATTGCATCAGCAAGTTTCAGAAGGCTGAGTTGAGATTTGAAATCCAGAATGCGGGAGACCTTAAATGAAAGCCGTTCTGTTTCTCACTGCAACTGAGGTAGATCTGTGAATCTAATTATTGACTATTTTATCACAAAAAGCCATGCCAATTCTACGAAACATATTACTCTTTCCCAACGGGCCTACCGTTATTGCAG